GCCAACGGAGAGAAGCGCTGAGGGACGTGATACTGCTCGTCACCAGGGACACGGCGGCGCCCGGACCTGAGGGTCGGAGCAACATAGCGGTTGCTTTAGCTAATGTTAAAAGAAAAACGCAAAAAATATGTTTACTCAGTAGTTTGCTATTTCTCCCTAAAACACTAATGTTAAAGCCGTAGAAATCCGGTTTGCTTTCTGGAAAGATGCTTTTAAGCCCAGCTCCACTTTTGTGGTGTTTGTGGAGACAGGATGTCCCACCTCGCAAGAGAGGGGTCTCAGCTACCAGAGGCGGCTGCTCCCAAAACCCCTGCTGCACCCGCTCCGCCAGGACGGGCTCCCACCAACCAGATGCAGCAGGTACACAAATAAGGCCAACATTAGCACCGCATCCAACATTCGTAAAACAATTTTTGCAAGGCAAAATAGCAATAGGCTCCCTCCCAACATGCCTACATGTGTTTTCACTGCATCGCTGCCGGAAAGGCCACCTTATAGAATATACAGCTACCCCAAAAACATATGTAGCTCAACTCTGGGAGTAATTCTGGAGGGTCTGTTCCTTCCCGGACGTGAACAAAGGTTATTGCCTGTCTAGAATAGATATAGCCTGCACAGACGGAGCATCATGGGGAGAGCGGGACTGAACTCGTGATCTGTTTCTTTCCTTCGGAGTCTTTTGTAATGAGCTTTGTGAAAAGTTTTTTGGAAATCCAAGTGTATTAAATTGCTGCACAGAGCACCAAGATAAACTTGCCAACGATAAAATATTTTTTAATTACTGATAGTATGAATTTTGTTGCCGAAATTCATAGCAGAAACAGCAAAATTTGGATAAAATGAGTTAAAACACACACATTCAAATAGGATGAAAATTAATCCCTGTACAAAAAAAAAGTATTTTTAGTTTAAATAATATGAACTATCCCATCGAAGTCAGGGTTTCGATACTTTCAGGAATAAAGATCCCCGCCTTTCTTTTCAAGCAATGACTAATGTCAGCTCACGGAATCGCTTGTCGAGATCCCCAGGAAACCACCTCTTTTCCCTGTGTTTCCTAGGGTCTGAAATGAGCGCTGTGCCTTGGGAACCGTTGCAGGAGCCGAAGACCTCTGCGTCTTTAGCAGTCTGCAGTCGTGCCGAGCTTGCAGCCGCGCTTGCTGACTTTTGAAAGTGCATACAGTAGCTCGAGCGTGCCGAAGGCTTGCTGACAAAGGAGAATTCCTGTAATTCCTGTTCCTAGTTGTGTTTTGTTGCGTCAGAAAACATTAACTACTAAAAACAAAAAAGCAGGCGTAAGTGACTTACGAACTTACAATCAAACCAGCGAAAGACAGACCCGGGACATCTCAGGAGGCCTGCTCAGACCGACGCGACTCCCAGCTACAGCCGCTTCCTCTGACCCTCGCGGTCGGCACCTCCTCGCTCCGGGGCGGCGCACCAGCCGCCCTCTTCCTCGTGCTCCCAAACGCCGGGGTTGGTGCCACTCCCCGACAGACCGTACCAGCACATTTCACGTCCTTCCCGGCTATCGCGTAGGGGCTCGCGCGGCCGTCGGCC